TGATTAGATGGCCACCTACTGATGCTTCTCAGCCTCCCAGGCTGAACTCGGCTGTCCGGCCTCTTTGCTGAAGGACACGAGCCTAAGCTGCCAGGCTGGGGCCCTTGATGGGTCTCATGTTTTATTTGGGAGAGCAGGGCCCATTGTCCCACAGGCCACCTTGCACCGCACTCATCCCTCCGCGCGGCTCGCTGGAGACGTCTGGTCGGATCAGCGTCACTCCTCCCTAAAGCACTTTATGCTGTCTGCCTATGCCCTCCATGCTGGAGTGAATCATTCATTTTTAAACCTGGGGAAACGTTCACCTCTTCAGCCTGTGAAGGCATGCGATCACCTCCCCCAAATCAGACAGAGTGTTGAATGAAACCCACAGCCTTTTCAAAAAGGTATGTGATTAATTGTAACATTCTCTAACTCATGGAACAATACAGCACACTTTCCTGTCATGCAATTATTTCTGAAACTGGGCTGGCGGTGGGATACCTCTGTTTGTAAGGACTAATAACTCACTCGTGAAAAGCAGTCAAACCCACAGCCCTGCATACATGCTTGGCACGGCAGTCACCTTACAGCACCAGCATTAATTAAGCATGGCCTGGCTACATCATGTGTAGTTTTTTATAAACTGGGAAGAAAAGGGGGGTTAGGAATGCATTCCTTATCTTTCATTATGAATTTGCCGTTACTGAGGCCAATTTCCCACGCATGCAGAGAGCAAAAAGGAAACATATACCTCACAAAGATTGTAATTCTGTTTTAGACAAAATAATTTTATCATTTGGATCAGTTATTTTGTTATGTTACGTTTAGTAGTGAAACTGCACCATAAGCTGTGTTAGTCTTATTTTAAATGATGATATCCTAATTAATTTTGAGTTATTTAAAAAGATTTCTCGCATCACATCTTTTCACAATGTGACTGCTGCTAATGTGTCCATTGCAATGTTGCGATATATACATCGCAACCCCCCCCGGCAAATTTGCCCCCCCCAATGTCAAAATCCTTCCGCGCCACTGATTACATTTGCTATTTAACATATTTATTCCATCCGCCTTCCTGACACATATTCAAAACAAGTTTGCAGACCCTGTAAATGACTTTACTGCATCTTTATTAAAGATGAATTGGGACAAACACTTGACTTTTTTTCTTTCATCATCCCAGTTTCCTCAGCAGTGGAAGCTGTAACTCTCCAGATGTCAGCAGAAACACACACAGAGGGAAAGCTGGGGGTAGCGCCCCCCCATGCCTCTTTAAAATGGCACTGAGCTCCATATGGATGACCGTAAACTATTTGATTTCTAAAGCTTTCCTCCTCAGAAAATGTGATAGATGAGACACTAATACTTGTGTATAGAAAGACTCTCTTTACATTCAGGGAGAAGTTATGCATTTAAAAACAATGGTGGGTCATTCTTGTGTTATAAAGAAAACTTGTTTCCTTTAAATGGGCCTGAAATCATACCACTCTCAGTACAAAAGTAAAAATATAAACTTATATAGTCAGACTGATGGGATGACAGTTTCACAAGATTGTCGGGCACGTGACAGCATGTCTGGTGGGACACAAGGCCCGAAGCACAAACCCATTCAGTACATCTCAGCCCTGGGGGAGTCCGACCTATAAGGAGCGAGAGCACAAAGGGGTCAAGAGAAAAAGCAAACAGGCAAAGTGAACAGCTTTCTGCTGGCAGCCAGCCTGCCTGACTGTCACATCACTGATGGTGGTAACATATGTGTGGCATGCTATGCTAAATAAAGACGTGTGTGAATCTGCTGGTGGAAACCTGGGTATGTACACCTGGGTATGATGATGCCCTTAACATGCAGACCTCCTGCTGATGATGCTCATAACATGCAGACCTCCTGCTGATGATGCCCTTAACATGCAGACCGCCTGCTGATGATGCTCATAACATGCAGACCGCCTGCTGATGATGCCCTTAACATGCAGAGCGCCTGCTGATGATGCTCATAACATGTAGACCTCCTGCTGATGATGCTCATAACATGCAGACCGCCTGCTGATGATGCGCATAACATGCAGACCTCCTGCTGATGATCCCCTTAACATGCAGACCGCCTGCTGATGATGCCCTTAACATGCAGACCGCCTGCTGATGATGCTCATAACATGCAGACCGCCTGCTGATGATGCCCTTAACATGCAGACCGCCTGCTGATGATGCCCATAACAAGCGGACCGCCTGCTGATGATGCCATTAACATGCAGACCGCCTGCTGGAGGCTGATGCTGGGTAAATTGCTGCTCAGTACTGCATACAGCCTATTACTCCATGTTGTCAGCGTCATGGCAAATACTGTGCTGCAGACATCCTCCCTTTCCACATCCAACATTGATGTTAACCCATATTATTTACAGTTCCATTATCGAAAAACTACCATATTAAGATATACACTTACAAAAAACTAAATATTCACACTTACAGTTTAAGGTTTACATTTCCATGTCATGGAGTCTGACTGAATTATTTATGTACATACATCCTTCATAGGTACTCATCCAGTAGAAGGTGACAGTGAGTCTGGATCCTGTGCCAGGAAGCAAGGGGACTAATACAAGGTACAACTAATTGCAGTTGTTGGGACCATGGAATTAAACCTGTGAAGCCATGTAAACATAGTAAGAATGTGAAAACTCCATGGCAGGGTGATAGCCAAGAGACAGGTGGCAGATAGTCGGTAGATGATAACTGGGAGATAGCAGGGAGACAGACAGGAGATGATAGCAGGGAGACAGACAGGAGATAGCCAGGAGATGATAGCTGGGAGATAGCAGGGAGACAGACAGGAGATGATAGCAGGGAGACAGACAGGAGATAGCCAGGAGATGATAGCAGGGAGACAGACAGGAGATAGCCAGGAGATGATAGCTGGGAGATAGCAGGGAGACAGACAGGAGATGATAGCAGGGAGACAGACAGGAGATAGCCAGGAGATGATAGCAGGGAGACAGACAGGAGATAGCCAGGAGATGATAGCT